ATCTGTAAACCTAAAAATGTACAGCCAATTTTGAAAGAGATGTACCCTAGCTCAGAAAAATGTTATTGAATAGGTTAATGCTGTTGTAAATGCTTCTTTTAATTAAAAAAAAAAATAAATAAATAAATAATAAGAAAAAAAAATCTCTTCACGATGTCTTTGACTTATGTAATTATTCAAAGGCTTAGTTAGTGAACTTTTGTTCTCAGAGCATGCTTTATATTTTCTTAGATGCATGACTTAAAACCATGAGTAGTGATGATGTGAAGGCTGTGAGAGAGATGCCAAAGCTATCCATCGACAGCATTTTCCCCCAGTGTTCTTCACCTTTTCCTACCTGCTACTGACATGGGAATACTTTTTTTCAGTATTTCCCATTCTGAACTATTTTTCAAATTTTAGCCAATTAAATTCAAAATGAACATGGATGAGCAAAATTGTGTTAATTTATGAAAACTGGTATGTGACGGAGTATGTGTGAAGGAGACACCAAGGAGAAAAGGTAGATGTGGGTGCATAAATAGATGACTTAACACAGTGTAATTGCTAAGTTAAAAAAGACGAATGGTTACTGTGGTAACTGTCACATCAGACAAGATGCATTTATCAAATATGCTATGCTGTGAACTTTTTGAAAATTACATATGCGCTCAGAAAGAATTTCTGGGAACAGAAAAACTGCTGCAGTTTTTTCAAGATTACTTCTATTTTCAAAGAGTTGTTTGCTGCTGCTGTGAAAATGGAGCCAAGTAGAAATGTGCACCATTGTATGACAGAACACTGTTTCTTTGTGTCTGTGAAAGGTTGTCATTCCTATGCCATTTTTGTGTGTGTTTAGTTGCATTCTATATACAACAGTTTTTTTTAAGGCTAACTTTTGCTTTTTCACATAACCTCTTACCTATATAATTCACACACAAAAGAATATTTGAAATGTTCAAAAGTTCCTGTCCTGTTTTGAAAAATATATCTATCTACTAGAATCAGGTGGGGTAGTAGCACCATTAGTTACATCTGTGAAGGCCACTCAGCAAGCATAAACTGCAGAAAAGGCCTGTTCCCACAGCCTGGGGTGATTTACTGCTCTTAATGTAGTTGATTTGGCATTCCTGATATTCTAAATTTTAGTGTCTTTGTTTTAAATAAAACTGGAACCATGATTGCTACTATATATTTATTGAGCACATGCATTGTTTCTAAATGCTGCTATAAGTATGCAGATAGACTGTCCTTAAGGAGCTGTTACCATGAAAATCAAGTAGATATACATAAGAGTCCAGTGACTTTGCTGTTTCCTGAGGATGCATTTTCTCTTATACTCATAATTCCTTCCTTCTGTCTTCCAAAGGCAGGAGATAAAGTACATATGGCTAGAAAGGGTTTGACATCCTGATACCATTTCTTTTTCAACCTTGTTTCCAATAGGAAGGAGTTGGGATGGGGCTGAGGATAGATGTCATTCTCATGGTGACCTGAAGTAATCATGGGTGTCCCTTCAAGGGAAGTTCTGTGGCTAAGCAAGATGTATATATTACTGAGTAACAAGCGGTCTTGAAAGATTCTAACCCTCTATTTAAAAAATGCAATACTCCCTTTTTTCTTCTAACTGCCCGAAAAATAAAAGAACAATTGAACAAATGGTATATGTTCACAGACGACACTGTGAGTTGGAAGCTCTCTGCTTTTTGTTCTAGGGTAGAAGGACTGGTAGAATCAGATTGTTTCCAGAATAACTAAACATTTTCTTTCTGATAAGTCTTGAAGTTTTAGGTGTTAGGTAGATGATCAAGAGCAAAGACTCAACTTTTTCTCTTTGGTTAATAGACATATCCAGTTCAGTCACATGGTGGAAACTACCTGGGACAAAGCATTCACCAAGTGTCTGTTGCCCAGAGCTATAACCTAGGACAGGATCCTGTGGGCTCGTTGAGAACTCTACCTCCAAATGTGAGTTCCTCAGTCACAGTACACACTGTCCAAACTCCATATTTAAGGTAAGTTTTGGAGAATTAATTTTTCTTAGTCTTTTGGAGTAAGAACATATAGACTTCTTTTTACAAGAATATTTCTAAATTTTACTCTTTTTTAATAATTTTTAAATTTTATTTATTTCTATTTTATGTGTATAAGTGTATTGCCTGCATGTATGTAAATACACCTGTGTCCTGCAGTGCTTGCATAGGTCAGAAGAGGGCATCAGATTCCCTGGAACTGGAGTTATGGATGGTTGTTAGCTGCCATGTTGGTGCTGGGAATTGAACCAGGGTCCTCTGCAAAAGCAGCCAGTGCTCTTAACCACTGAGCCATCTCTCCAGCCCCCCCCAGCATTTAAGATGGAGTTACTAAAGGGCCATTCCTAATGGAATGGTATTGCCCTTAGTTCAGCTAGCCATACCTTGAGCCTAGAATTTAGGACTGTAGGACAAAATAAAGCAAGTGCTCCTTCATGGAGACTAATGCCATGGTGTTCTTAGCACTATGCTGTGGTCATCCTAATGAAGTAATCCTAGACACACTTATCTGCATGCACTCCTAAATGTTAGAAAGCTATTATTTCATTCACCCTTAAATGGGATTGTGTTTGAGTAATGGACTTTGTGGTTTAATTTCAGTATGTAAATGCTTCTCTGAGAATCTTATTTTTATTTTTTCTATTTACCTTGGAAAATGTGTATTCAGTAATATGTAGTTGCTGTGTAAGGTCCTCCTCTGCTCTTAAAAGTCCATGAGGAGAAGTTTTAGGTACTACCTGAAAATAAATAATCCTGGGGCTGGAGAGATGGCTCAGTAGTTAAGAACACTGGTTGTTCTTGCGGAAGACCCGGGTTCGAATCCCAGAACCCACATGGCAGCTAACAGCTGTCCATAACTCCAGTCCCAGGAGGTCTGACAGCCTCTTCTGACCTCCGCAGGCATTGCATGACATGGGTGCACCTACCTACATGCAGGCAATATACACATACACATAAAATTAAAAAAACACAATAAAAATATAATAATCCTGTATCTGTGGGTTAAATTAAAATACAGTTTTGTTCCAGGAGAACTATGGAGAAAAAGATGATATAGTTGGTATAGTTTATTATTACCATAGTAATAATAGGAGAAAAGCAGAAGTCCTGCAATTTGGTGTGATTTCTTTCCTATTTAGTTTGTGAGGTGTAGTGTGTGTGTGTGTGTGTGTGTGTGTGTGTGTGTGTGTACGCTTGCAGGTGCTTGCCCATGTGGGCATGAGTGGAAGCTAGTCTGACATCAGAATGTCTTCTTCAAGCACTCTCCACCTTATTTTTTGAGACAGGGTCTCTCACTAAATCTAGAGCTCTCCATTTTGACTACCCTGGCCAGCCAGCCAGCCCCCAGCATCTGCCTGCTTCCCTGTACTGGGGTTACAGAAGAACATCCAAACTCCTTCTTAGTAAATATAAAAATAACACTAACAGTATTTGATAGCTACTTTAAAAGTTTATAAAAGGGGCTGGAGAGATGGTTCAGAGGTTAAGAGCACTGGATGCTCTTACAGAGCACCTGGGTTTGGCTCCCAGCCACCCACATGGCAGCTAACAACCTCTGTAACTCTAGTTCCAAGGAGATCCAACGCCCTCTTCTGGTCTTCACAGGCATTGCATGCATGTGGTGCCAGTTACATATATTCTGGCAAAATACTCATACGCATAAAATAAAAACAATTTTTTTAACACTTAAAAAAAGAAGATGGAGCTGGGTGTGGTGGTACACCCCTGTAATCTAAGCAGCAGAGGCAGGCGGATCTCTGAAATCGAGTCCAGTCTAGTCTACATAGTGAGTTCCAGGCCAGCTAGAGCTATAGGGAGGACCCTATCTCAAAAACAACGATAAAAAGAAGATGGAAAAGGCATGTTTGTCATGATGATCTGTGCCGTACCTAGCAAAGTCAATGTGATTTTCTTCTTAAAATTTCACTTACAGCACTGGACAAGACACCCTTTCCAATGCTTCTTACACGAACCAGAACTCTAATCTTCCATCAGCTACCGGTACAGCTGCTTACACACAGCCCATGGGGATGTCAGCAGATATGGTGTCTTACCAGAATACCACGTCCAGTTTGCCCCAGCTGACTGGCTTTCCAGTGGCAGTTCCAGCCCCTTCAGTTGTACAGCCGCAAACAAATTATCATCAGCAGCCTCTCCTTTAGAGACAAACCAAGAGTTTGCTTGAAGTCTTCATAAGTGTATCACTCAACCCATGTGATTGTAACCTGAAAACTTTGAAACTTCTTCCTCTGAATTGAAAAGAACCATGAATAAATAAAGCACAAAGACCCACCTGCTCTGAAGGCCGTAAAAGCTTTTATGTCCAGTTAGTTTTGTTCTGCTTTCAAATCTTTACATAAATCTGGGTGCTCAGTGAATAGCTCTGTGACACTACATGGTATGAGACAGCAGTGTAGAATTTTTTTCTTTAGAGAGTCCATTGTTTTCCCCTAAGATACGAGTTTTAGGAGCACTGAAGGCCTTTAAACATTTTTAAAAAATTTCCCACACACTATTATTTTAAAAGGCAAACATCTTTTTGGGTAAGCATTTAGCTTGCCAGCATATTTCCTTTTGGCTCCTTAAATTACAGTTGTGTTTGCAGTCAGCTTTGCTCTCTGTGTTATGTTGAGTAATAATTAGCATATAATTGTCTGCAGAAGCAAGAGCAATTTGGAAGGAACAAAAATGTTTTCTGTTATTAACAGTGAAAACCATGTAAATGCAGATGTGTGACAAAGCAGTTAGCCAGTCCTCTCAACAGCAGCACCGACTGTGGGCTATAGAATGCTCCACAGAATGTTTGCCTTCCCTAAGGAAAGACATTTCCTCTTGTACAAGTGTCCCTGGTATTTAGAATTTCCACTGTTGACCTTTGCAAATGACTTTGGCTGTTGTGTGATGAAGGCACAGTCCATTGGCTTTCCCTCTTACAGTGTGTGCAGGGCCCTGCATTTCCTTCTTGGGGATTATCGGTGCATGGAGCCAGGAGACATTCTTCAGAATCTAAGGTGATAGAAACCCTAATGGGGGAGAAGAGTGTTGTGGGCATGTTACTTTCTTAAAGAAGTGGTTGAACCATTGGTAAGCTGTCATCGGTGCCAAGCTGCTGAAAAATTGTGAGTTCCTTCAGAGGTAATTCTGAGCCTCTGTCATAACAGTTAGCCAGTGATCTGAAAGAAGAGAGTGCACTTACAGGAAAGTGGTCAGGTGCCTTCTGAAGCTCATGTTTTAAATTAGTTTGTAGTACGAAATCCCATATACTATGGGAGTTTGTAGTAAATCAGTAGGGCTTTTCTCTTAAAATTTTGCACACTACTTTATTATCTACCAACTTCTTACATAATTCAGAAATAGAAAGTACAGATGCATATGCTTACAGATACTTGATATTTAGACTAAGAAAATTATCTAAGCTTAATTTTTAAAAGTTAAAATTTTTGCATGAGTCCAAGATTTCTATATATTTCTTTTTAAAACACATAATCTTTCTACTAAAAGTCTATTTAAAGGCAATTTGGAAATGTTGTCATTTATCTTTTTACAGATGTTCTTTTTTCCAAGAAATGCTATTCTAGAGTGCACTACTGTCTGCAGTGGTGAGCACATGAAGAACAAGCAGTGTTTGCAGATACAAGAGACTGAAAAGAGCGGTGCAGCCTTCTCTGCCTCATTCTGGTTTTGTCCAGTGTTTTCCCTTCAGGTGAATTCACTTAGATGCTTACAAAAAAAAAAAAAACTTCAACATGCACCTTGCATTTGGAAACTACTTTTCTGTTTTAAAAAATTAAGTAAAAAAAAAAAAAATTCGAAAGCTGCTCTTGATAATAATGTTTGTATATGTAGAAAATCTTTTCCTTCCAAACTGTATTTAATAAATTTATTTTAATGTTTCTGTATTTCATGTTTTATTCTCATTTAAAGTATAAAAGCTTAATTCAGTTGAAGTCTTTGTGTCAGTATAAATACTACATACCTACTAAATAGAGACCAGCTGATAAAGTTCAGTTAATGGAATTGTGGAATAATAAAACATGTGACGTGTATAAATAGTGTACATTGGTATCTCTGAAGGTTTATACATGCAGAAGTTTCTTCCTCTTAAAAATAATTTTCTGCAGGCCTGGTGGTGCACGTCTTTAATCCCAGCATTCAGGAGGCAGAGGCAGGTGGCTCTCTGTGAGTTCAAGGCCAGGCTGATCTACATAGTAAGCTGCAGGCAAGCTGGGGCTACAGGGAGACTCTAAAGAAATCTGTGTTGCAAGGTATAGATAGCATTAAATATAAAATGGTGTCTGTATTGATCTGGTTTTAGTATTAATAAGAAATGTAAGGATATATTTTTTTATTCTCGTGATCTTAGGGACTATATTTATTTTAAGATGTTTTATAAGTTATTTATTTTCTGCCAAAGGAATAGTCTACCTTCAGATTTCTACATTGGGTTCATACTTTTCTAACAAAAATTTAAAAATCAACCTGATTTTTCATATGAAGTCTTTATATGAAAAAAAATCCCTTAAATAGAATTAATTTTATTGATGTAGAACAATACTCTTGGACGTTAGAGTGGGACATGTTTATATAGTTTGAAAAATGTGTAGCCAACCAACATTGTCTTTTTATTTGGTATTTTATTTACAAAATTACCTACACATTAATTCTCTTCATCCCTTGGGATTTGAAGATGTGTTTGTCCATTATGCTATTTCAGGTAGTTGGTATTTGACTAACAATTTCACTGTACACTGAAGATGATAATAAAGTTTTATCCATATTTTGAAAAATTATTGTAAATGCTGTAAAACTGTGTCTGATTTAGGGGTGTGATTCAGTGACAGAGAATGTGCACTTTGCATTTGGAAGTCTCTGGGTTTGACCCCTAACATTGCAAACGGGGAAAATAAAGTGGCCTTAGGGACCTTTTTAAAAGCTCTTGTTGGTGAAAAAATAAATTTTAATGTTCCTGAGTTCTTGGAGAGGATCTGTTGAATTGTCATCATGATGTGACACTGGTGTTACTCTAAAACCAATATATTGTAAATAACACAGCACTGACTTAACGAGTCTACCAAAGAGTTTTCTCTATTTACTTCAATTTTAGTTTTTAGATAAAAGGCAAGACTCAGTTTGATTGCTTTGTTTGACTTCATTTTCTCTTAAAAAATAAACTTTAAAAAAATTGTCCCTACCTAGAGAGGAAAGATTCTGATTTTTATGAAGCTAAGTTTCAATTTGAGAGGTTTTGGTTTTTGTTTTTTAAAATCTTAATGAGGTCTGAAAAAGAAATGTGGCTCACATGACACAATAAGCTAAGTGTCCCATTCATCCTCATATTCATGTCCACTTAGAATGTCATAATGTTGACCTAACTTGAAAATAAAAGTCTATATGGGGCTGGAGAGATGGCTCAGCGGTTAAGAACACTGGCTGTTCTTGCAGAAGACCCAGGTTCGAATCTCAGCACCCACGTGGAAGCTAACAACTGTTCATAACTCCAGTTCCAGGGGATCTGACGGCTTCTTCTGTCCTCCGCGGGCATTGCACGACATGGGTGCACTTATCTACATGCAGGCAATACACTCATAAGGTAAAAAAAAAATAAATAAAATATTTTTTAAAAATGAAAAAAGAAAATAAAAATCTATGGAGATAAGGTTAGTAAGGATCTTGAGTAGACCATTCTAGATTTAGGATGGGCTCCTGATGGTGTCTTTTTAGAAGAGGATGGAAAGACAGGACCCAGTGAGCTAGGCCACAGTGAAGGTGGGGACCGAAGTTACACTTACACAAAGAAGCCAGTGACTGCTTAGCTGGAACGGGGAAAACACTCTTTGGGAGCCTTCAAGGGGAACACGACCTGTGAGCACCTGAATTGCAGACTTCTAGTTGCCACAACTAGGAGAAAATAAATACCTTGTTTTTAAATTAAGCCTCCGAGTTTTTGGGACTTAGTTCCATGGCCCTGGTAAACCTTATGGTTTCATTATTGAAATTGCCTAACAGGTGAAGCTAAGACCCCTGTTAATCCCATAATCCCATTTTAATGATTTTATTTCCGTGTTGGTATTTCAATATTTGATTCCTTCACATGTAGCAAGGTCACCTTTTTTTTTTTTTTCCAGTTACTATCCACTCCTGCCCATCGTGAGTAGTGGGCACTTATTGATGGGGTCAGTGCTCAAAGACAAATAGGAGCAGAGCTAGGCAGACTCCACTGAACAATAGAGATCTGGTGCTCTTATTTTTTTTTTTTAATACTTTTTATTTTATGTGTATGAGCGTATTGCCTCCATGTAGGTAGGTGCACCCCTGTTGTGCAGTACCCAAGGAGGTTAGAAGAGGATGTTGGATCCACTTGAACTGGAATTGTGGATGGTTGTTAGCCGCCATGTAGGTGCTGGGAATCAAACCTGGGTCTTCTGCGAGAGCAGCCTATGCTCTTAACCACTGAGCCATCTCTCCACCCCTGGTTCTCTTATTTTAAACCATTTAATATCCTAATGGGGAAATTAAAGGTTTCCAATGCCTTCAAAGCAAGAAATCCTTTATTGATGACATTTTGATCTAGGAACCAGCTACTGGTTTTGTCTAATTGAAATTTACATAATAAAATCAAACATTTCATAACACTATTGTGATGGTGTTTACTATGTACATTCACAATGTTATGCAGTTGCCTCTAGTTTGAAAATCAGACCTTTTTGTGTTTGGCATCTTTCACTTAATGGCTTTACTCGAGCATAATATTTTCTTGTTTGTGGTACTGGGGTTCAAACCTAGAGCTTTATGCATATTAGGCATGTGGTGAAGCATGGTATTTTTGCTGATTTTATTATAGCAAGTGTGAGTACTTTGATTTCTTTTATAAGTTTTTACTCCAATGTGTGCATATACCATATACTCATCTATTCACCTTTTCCTACCCCTAACAGTTTGACTTTGTAGTTCAGGCTGGTGTCAGAGTCAGGATCCTCCTCTTTCAGTCTGATTGCTGGGATTAAACCAGGCTCTGAGGAGACCAGAATTTCATGGCAATGCATAAGTTTTCCGAGACTGTTACATAGGATGAGTCAAACCCTGGGGAAGCAGTACCAAGTACTGTTCCAGAGGAAGTGGCAGGTGACATCAAGTTGAAGTTCCTTTGGTTGTGAGCAGACATGTTCTGCCTTGAAGCTCTTGCATAGCCTGTTTTTTCCAAAATTCGACAGTGCTGCTGAGGGAAAAACATCCAGCGTGAGTTCAGGCCACTGTTGGACTGTGGATGAGGAATAAGCACATCCTTGCCCCTATTCCACTCCTATATGCTAGACAAATTCACACCCCAAAATTCCTCATGCCAATCTGTCTTAATTGTTTGGCCCCCATTATATTTTTCCCTTGCAGGAATGTTTTTGCCCATCTAATGAAACATCTTTTCAAGGTTCAGCCCACCTTTCACGGGCCCCCAAACCCTTTGTTTCTGAAGTGTCTTCTGTGTTACAGTGGTTGCTACTGCACTAGTACGTTCAGTATAGTTTCGTTCTTTTAGCATGCATTTCCAATCAGCCATCTTAAGTTCTTCTGCATAGAAGCTAGTAGACAAAACAATGGTACTTGCCTTTCCAGAGTTTGCAGCCAGAGCTGGCCACATGCAAGGTTTTGGCCAATGAGATTTAGGTCAGAGTTCTTGCGAAGAGCATCGTAGGAAGAAAGAAAAAAGTTTAAATAGAAAAGCTTTGGATTTGGAAGCAGATTCAATGCCAAGTGATTAATATTGATATAAAGGCTAAAGTTGTGATGGCTTAGAGATACCTGGTTCCTTGATAACATCTTTGAGTGGCTACATCAGTTCCAGACTGTCATTGGATTTTATATGTAAGTAAAAAATTAAAGATCTTATCTAACAATTTGTCAAGCTCGCTGTTGGACAGAGTTTGGTTATACGTGAAATCTCTGCCCCGAGCACGTCTGTAAAATGCTTCAGAACTCAGAGCCGTGTTTTATATTCCCAGGCCAGCGGAGGTGCGTGAAATGACTGGAATGAAGAATGAAATGATGGAGCCAAGAGCTGCATGCCGCTTGCTGGGGCCTGGCATTCTGGCTCTAGTTCTCTTTGACCTTTTTTTTTTTTTTTTTAATTCATGTGATTGCTTATTGGTATCTTGTTAATTTTTAAATTTCACTTATTTAAGGGGCTGGAGAGATGGCTCAGTGTTTCAGAGCACTGGCTGCTAAGGACCTGGGTTCAGTTCGTGGCACTCACATGGTGGTTAGCAGCCATCAGTAACTTTAGTTTCAAGGGATCTGATGCTCTCTTCTGACCTCTATGGAGTGTTGGTGGTGAGGAATCTTGACTTGCCATGCCACATGTGTGCAAATCAGAAGACCAACTTACGGCAGTCTTCTCTCTTTCTGCCATGTGAGTCCAGGTGATTAAACTCAGGTGTTCAGGCTTGGTGGCAAGCACCTTTACTTGCTGAGGCATCCCACCAGCCCCCATCTTAACATTTCTGAATTTATTGTAGAATTTCATTTTATTTTAGTCTGTGACACATCTCAAAACCCATGTTGGCTTAGAAATGAGGGACTATGTATCAAGAGACAAAAGAGCAGGGGCCATGAGATGGCTCAGCAGGTAAAAGTGCTTGCTGAACAAGCCTGGTGACCTGAGTTCAATCCCCAGAACCAAAATAAGGTGGAAGGAAAGAACCAACTCGACAGTGTAGTCCTCTGACCATCAGTGTGCCATGTCATGTATGTCCCCTCCCCCATGGTCCTGCACTCACAAAACAATATTTTTTAATTTAAAAAGACAGAGGAGGGGGCTGGAGAGATGGCCCAGCGGTTAAGAGCACTGACTGCTCATGCAGAGGATCCAGGTTCGATTCCCAGCACCCACATGGCAGCTACGAACCGTCCTTTACTACAGTTCCAGGGGAATCCAAAGCCATCTTATCTCTGCGGCATTGCACGACCTGGGTGCACTCATACATGCAGGCAATACACTCATACACATAAAATAAAAATAATTTTTTTAAATGGGATAGGGTTCAGTTTAAAGGTCAAAAAGGCAAATGACTTGCTTTGAAAACACCTTAGTGTCTCCAGTGCTCATCAAACTGCCTGTTTCTTCACTCTAAGCCCAGAAATTCAGCCAAGCAGAGAGAACCACAACCACAACACACGTCTTTCTGATGTGGCAGGAAAATGTTCATCACAAAGAATAGGAAAACTGAAATTTTAATACTGTAATTCACATAATTTGACAGTTCAAGCTTTCAGGGGGATGTTTAAATATTATAGAAACCATTTGCGTAATGTACCCACAGTGGCAGAATGAAGATGGTACAGGTTAAAGGTGATTAGACTTTATAACTCTCATTTAAGTAAATAATATTTAATAAGGGAATTACACTGTTTGTGGATTTCAATTCCCACTTTTCTGCCTACATCTGAACAGAAGTTTAGCTAGTACCATGAATGCCCAATATCTCTGGTGACCATGCACTGCAGAGCTGGTACATCCCAGACTATGGCTTTCACATCAGCCTGCACTGGGGAATGAGGCAAGAGCAGTCGAGCCACAGCCTAGACCACAAGCCAGTCCATATGGTATGGCTATCAGAAATACAGCAAACATACCTGCTACAAGAAATACAGAATAAATGTTTAAATAGCTGGTAGGTAGCACCTAGATGTATGTGACACATCCTCATAGTGATTACAACTTAGACTGATATGTGCTTCTGTTGCCATCTGAATCATTTGTACCCTTCAAAATTATACCCAGAGAAGAGTTTCACATGGATAAGTTTTTCAGGCTAAAGGAAAGGGGCCAGCAGAAGGAACAGGGTACATGAAAGGGTTATGGGGTAGGTGTGAATATGATCAAAGTACATTTTGTACATGCTAGTAAGAACAAAAATTTTCAGAGGAATAATACTTTATCCTAGGTTTTGTAACAGTAATTTTTTTTTTTTTTTTTTTT